GGATGGAGACAAGACACGGGGACAAGAAGACGTGTCTGTGACTGTGAAGAACGTCCTGCTGTACAACCGTCCGTTGGATAGCACTGAGATTGACGCTTACAACCCGAATAAAGCCTCCATTCCATCTCTGGTGAACACGACTATTGAAGGAACCGTGTCCTCGTCTACTGCTGGACGACAACAGCAGGCGGGAAAGGAACCGTTATTGGAGAGCAGTATTGCAAACGGGGAGACGGCGGGAGGAATGGATGGGCAGGAGGAGGAGGTTAATACGCAGGTCAGGGACGTAAATGCTGCGGCACTCAACAGCGGCCTCGGAAATGTGTCGCAGGGGAATAACAGCGCTGCTGGCGCTTTGCGTGAGAGCAGACTGCTGCCATCGCTGCTGCTTCTGTTGGGACTGTGGGGTTTTGCAGCTCTGTGAGGAGTGACTGGCTGCCGCGTGGGACACTTGCGACCTCCCCCGCACAGAATTACTTCCCCGATAACTAATTTATCCTTAAGATAATTTGCTTTTTCTTGCCTTTTCTTTGTTGTGCGTTTTTTCCTTTTTCCTTTTCTTTTTCTTGCAAATCATTTCCCTTTTTTTTTTTTGCTTTTGGGGGCAATCACTATGGATTTTTTTCTTTTCTACTCTTCCCTCTTTTAATTGTTTGTTGCTGCACTCTTCCTGCGAGGGGTGCCGTGTGTTCCGCCCAACTGCTCCACTCGCACACCCACCGACACGCTCATGACGACGGCCCTGTGCGCCTCGCCTGCTGCACGCATGAGGAGGGGCCGCGACGAACGGCGCGCTGAGGGAGCCGTGACGTGTGGGCGTGCGACGAGGGCCTGTGGGGCGGAGCACACATTTCTTCCCTCTTGTTTTGTTTTCTTTGCGGCCAGGGCGGGCAGACACCCGCAGCGCCACACACACAGCCACACCCTGCCGCCGTGTTTTTCTTTTTTTTTCTTTTTTTGCTTTTCGTGTTCATTTCACGCGCTGGCAGTCCCGTCAGCATTTCTCTCCCTCCTGATGATTTTTTTCTTTTGCTGCGCTCACTCTCCGATGAAGTGACGCGACTCCCGTCATGTCTGCGTGCTTCTCTCAGTCCCCACACACGAGTGACTGTGCTCTGCGGGCCGCACTCGCACGCCGATGAGAGGGCTGAGGGGAGCAGCAACACGCGGATGACCCCGTGAAATATAAACGATGTGCGGACACATGGAGGGTCGGACGGTTGAAACACACGCAACCATCTTTTTAGTTTTCTTTTCGGGCAAAATATATACGGACAGTTCGGTGTGGCCACACGGCAGCCAGGCGATTTTTAAATTTGTGTGGAACAGTAATGGACGATTTCTTTTTTATTTATAATTATTTTGTGTGATGGGGTTTGTATAAGACGAAGGGGATGTTCTTTTTTTGTTTTAAATAAATCTTGTGTGGATTGCCGCTGCTTGGGCTGCAGTGCAGTCATGAGTTTGAGCGGTCCTCTTCTTGTTGTTTCCGCCATGCGTCTCTGATGTACATTTTTGTGCGTCCCTCCACATACTCTGCTCCCTCTTTTCTACTTCTTTGCTTTGTGTTTCTGCAGGCACACACAACCACACACAAGATGCACATTGCAGTGGATATGAATGCTCCTTTTGCAGTGCATGCTGGCAGTTGCGTGTGGCGGCTGTTGTCTTCTTCCGTGGCCATGAGGAGAAGGGAGGAGGGGGAGCGCGCACCCCGAGTCTCTTTTCCTGCGGGTGTGATGCACCGCGTGTGGCTGCGCTGAGTTGGGCTCCGTGTCCCATTGAGGGTGGGATGGCAGGAAATTTTGGTGCCGCGTCATGGATGGATGAGGGTTCGCTTGCTCCGTGTGCGTTGTGTGGTGGCCGCGGTGTTTTTGCCGTTTCCCTGGGGCTGTGGCGATGAGCTGGGGGAGATGGTGGTGGATGTCTTCTCCTCCTGCATGGTGGGTGGCTGCTGGCGTTGTGTGCCTTCGTTGCGTGGATGCCGTCTCGTGGTGTGTGAACTGTGCGGCTGGGCCTGCTGCCCTCTCCTCATGTTGTCTGCTCTCACTCGCCGTATCCGCTGCACTCCGTCCCTCTCCCTCCTGTTCCATTCCTTTTCCTTCTGGCTCACGGATCGGCTCACTGACACCAGCGACTCCACTGCGGGTGATGATGACTGCGATGATGACGATGGTGACGGTGCGGCTTCGTGTGGTGTGCGCCGTGTTGGTCCTTGCGCTATTGTGCTGCTGCTGCAATTCCGTGTGTGTGGCCACTCCGGCGGAGGGCGAACACAAAAGGGAGGGATGCAGGCGCTGCGTGTGTACAGGTGCCATGCAACAACGTCACAACAAACATGCTGCGACTCGGTGACCCTCACATAGCTGTGGTCCCCACGAACAGCCGAGGCACGGCCCACATCGATGCACTTAGTGGACGGAGTGAGGCATCTTTTGAGGCGCTGCAGGGAACAGGATGTGTTGACGCAGCCACGACGTGCATGGAGCGTCACGATGGCACAGTCAGCTGTGGCTGGTGGAATATTTACTTCTCGGAGGCAACAGAGAGAGAGAGAGAGGGCTGCTCCTGTTGTTGGCGTCGCTGCTGCCTTTTGTGGCCTCCCATGCCGATTATTGTCTGTCCGCTGATCATGGGTGGCATGCCTCCACTAGTGACGTCGTCTGCAGGCATTTCACGGCACCAGTGAGGCACACATCACGTCGCATGCTTTGGCTGTGGACATGGTGTTGTGAGTGCA